TTTTTTTTGTAATGGCAGGTTCAGAATCACAAATTAACGTCTTGTCGTTTTCCGAAAGCAACAATAATCCGATAACATGTCACAAACTCAATGGCCACAATTACCTTCAGTGGTCCCAATCAGTGATGATGTTCATGTATGGTCGTGGACGGGAAGACTATATCACCGGTAAAGATAATCACCCAAACCCGATGATTCAACATTTCGCAAATGGAGGGCTGAAAACAATCAAGTAATGAGCTGGTTAATAAATTCCATGACCACTGAAATTGGTGAGAATTTTCTCCTATTTTCTACTGCCAAAGAAATTTGGGATGCTGCTGAGGATACATTTTCCAATAAAGAAAACACTGCTAAGTTGTTCCAGATAGAGACTACTCTCCAAGATATTAAACAAGGTGATTCAACGGTTACAGCATACTACTCCAATTTATCTCGCTACTGGCAAAAACTAGATTTATTTGAAACTCGTGAATGGAAATGTCCTGACGATCGTGTCTGTGAGGCCCCCCATTGTAAATACCTATGTAAGGAGGGGTAGAGAGGGAAATTCCTTCCCAAAGGACAGTTAGGAAAGGGGCTGTACTGAAAGGGTCTGTAAGCTTGATGCACGATCCATAAAATGTATCTTTATTGGGTACTCGCCAAATAAGAAAGGATACAAGTGTTATCATCCTCCCACTCACCAATTCTTTCATACTATGGATGTCACCTTCTTTGAAAATCAACCATATTATCCCAATTCTGTCCTTCAGGGGGAGAATTCTGCTCTTGAATCACAAAATTGGGATTGCATTCCTGACTTCTCTTTAAACCCATCCTTTGAGAGTTCTCTTGTACCCTCTTCTGAGACAATTCCATTCTCTGAGAGTTCACCTKTACCTCCTTCTGACCCAACTCACATATCTCCCTTTGAGGCTAAACTGCAAGTTTATTCRCAACAAACAAGACAACCTGAGAGGAACGAAATACAACCTACACAAGTTCAACAAAGCCAAGATCTAAACCAAAATCTCAATGTCCCTGAAATAGCACACGAGACATCAGGAGATGATAGACCCATTGCTGTCAGGAAAGGTATTTGCTCATGTACCCAACATCCCATACGGTATCACTTGTCTTACACTAATCTGTCGCCGTGTTTTAGAGCTTTTGTGACTTCACTAGATCAGGTACAAACTCCCAACACAGTTCAAAAAGCCTTACAGAAACCTAAATGGAAGGCTGCTACTCTAGAAGAGTTGCAGGCTCTGGAGGAAATTGGGACGTGAATCCTTACAAACTTAGCCCAGATAAGCGCACAGTTGGATGTAAATGGATTTTCTCAATCAAACACAAACCAGATGGCGGTATAGAACGATTCAAAGCTCGTCTGGTGGCTAAAGGCTTCACCCAAGCTTATGGAATTAACTATCAAGAAACCTTTGCTCCAGTTGGCAAACTAAATACTATTCGGGTACTTCTCTCCATTGCAACAAATTTAGATTGGCCGTTGTTTCAACTTGATGTGAAGAATGCATTCCTAAATGGTGATTTAGTAGAGGAAGTGTACATGGACATACCTCCTGGATTTGAGGACAGATACACTAAGGGAAAAGTAGGTAAACTCAGGAAGTCTCTTTATGGACTAAAATAGTCACCTCGAGCCTGGTTTGAAAAATTTACAAATGTGTTGAAACAAGACAGCTATACCTAGTGTCAATCTGATCATACCCTCTTTATCAAGCACTTCTCACCAAGTAAGATCACTGTATTAATAGTATATGTTGATGATATAATACTTACAGGAAATGTTTCTGAAGAAATGGTTCATCTAAAACAACTTCTCTCAAAGAAATTTGAGATCAAAGACTTGGGACACCTAAGGTATTTCTTAGGTACGGAAGTAGCAAGATCTAGTAAAGGRATTTCTGTCACTCAACGAAAGTACACTTTAGATCTCCTAATAGAGACCGGGATGAGTGGTTGTAAACCAATAGACACTCCTATGGATGCAAATTCAATACTTGGAGTTAATCCTGAAGATGAACCAGTTGATCGAGGCAGATATCAACGCCTAGTTGGAAAGCTAATATACTTAACTCATACGCGACCAGACATTAGTTTTGTTGTTAGTGTGGTAAGTCAATTTCTGAACAGTTTTGTTGTTAGTGTGGTAAGTCAATTTCTGAACAAACCTTCAAAGGAGAATATGGAAGCTGTGTATAGAATATTGAGATATCTCAAACACGATCCTGGAAAATGACTGATGTTCAGAAAGACCACGAACCGAGCTCTTAAAGTCTACACGGATGCAGATTGGGTTGGATCTCCTATTGACCGTAAGTCAACATCAGGATACTGTTCCTRCGTATGGGGGAATCTAGTAACCTGGCGTAGTAAGAAACAGCAAGTTGTAGCTCGAAGTAGTGCTGAATCTGAGTTTCGATCATTAGCCCATGGGATCTGTGAAGAAGTTTGGTTGAAACGTCTTCTCACTAAGCTCAAGGTGAAGACAGAAGGTACTATAGAGGTACTGTGTGACAATCAACCTGCCATAGCCATTGCAAGAAATCTAATACATCATGATCGGATGAAACATGTCGAAATAGATCGTCACTTCATCAGCGAGAAGATCTTTGAGACAAATACTATCAATCTGAGATATGTATCTTCCCAACAACAAGTTGCTGACATTTTAACTAAGGCATTGCATCGACCCAGCCTTAGTAGATTAATCTCAAAACTTGGAATGACAAGCATATATCATCCAGCTTGAGGGGGAGTGTAGAAAATCAAGCCGTAAATTAAGTTTTTCCTTATTAGAATTTGCATTGCTATTATATCTCTGTATATTCTGTAATTTTATTTTTTCCTTATAGGCTTAGATTAATTCCTTATTTGTTTAAAGGTCTTCTTGTATATTTACCCCTAAATGGGTTGTTCTGGGAAATAAGAAAAATTACCTTTCTCACAAAACTACAGAACGGACTAAAGTAGAAAAAAGGGTTGGACCAGGAGCTTTACAATCAAAATGAGAACACTAATAAAAGCAACAAAAAGAACAAGCAAACTACAAACAAAACAATCCACCAAGATGCTCGAACACAAAAGAGAGAAGTTTTAAGCCTTTAGCTTCAAGCTTGCCAGCAACCCCCTCTTTTATCTTCTAAATAAAGATCTTTTAGATCCTAAGAAAATTTTACTCGAACTTCAGCTAACTCTCAAACCTGGTCAGCTTTTATTTTCAACCTTCTTCTAGAAAACTCTTCTACCAACATAATTCATTCATTGCGAAGCCTGACAAGCTCGGAGTTGATAATAACTAAAAATTCATCCAACTAAGGATGAGAAAGGCAAGAGATGTATTTGAGAAAAGAAACTATGAATTCTTTAAAAATTCATTGCAAAGCTATACGATCCAACGTATTAATCCTGCCATGTAAGACTTGCCAAGACAAAAAATCTTATCTTTCTTTGGAACCTTAACCTTCCCAAAGCGAAAAGAAAACAGTACAATGAGAAGGATTGGAGTCCGCCAGACACGAAAAAAATTATTTACAAGAAAATCCTTCTGTAATGTTAGGAGAGTACGGATGGGCATCTCTCCTCCTCGAACTAACAACAAAATCCCCCAATAACTCTAACAGAGCCACTAGATCCTTCATCCATCAATTTGTATCTTATGTGATAATTCTTGTGAAACTCTGCAGCATCTCTTCTTCCACTACCCTTAAGCTTCAGTTTGTTGTAGGCTCTTATTCGAGATTTTTCACGTTTCATGGGCTTTTGAGTTGAATGTCTTGACAGATGTTAACTCTCTGCTGTTTGGTCTAGTTTGAGTCCCCGAAGCAAGTCTTCTTTAGTGCAACATTGTTAAAGTCGTGTTTTGATCTATGGTTTGAAAGGAATGAAAGGATCTTCAAAGGGAAAAATAAATCTCCGTTGGAAAGCTTCAACCATGTCGAGTTCAAGGTCTCTCAATAGTGTTCTCTTTCTAATTAATTTGCTTCTTCTTTTCTCAAACAAGATATTAACTTTTCATTGATAGATGATTTTTATTTGCTAATAATTCTTCTAATATGATTTGTTCGATCTATGGTTCCAAAGGAATCAAATGATCTTCGAAGGGAAAAGTAAATCTTCGATTGAAAGCTCCAGCCTCGCCAAAGTTCAAGGTCTCTCAATGGTGTGCTCTTTCTAATTTATTTTCTAATTTTTCTTGTCTCTTATTCTATTTATTTTTTGTTCGTTTCTTTTCTTTGCTTACGCTCCTTCGGGAGTTTATATCTTTGAACATCTATGTTCCTTTTCATTTATCAATAAATGTTTGTTTCTTGTTTTTAAAAAAATTTTTGTCGTACTCCGCAGCGTCCAAAGAAGTAATTCCAAACCGAATCACGATCACCTTTATTTACAAAGGGATAAAACTTAGGGGCTTGTCGTCCTAGAGAAAAAGTAAAGCAGGCAATTTTTGTCGTCGAATTCCAACTTGGTAGAAGTTTATTGTTCAGATCCTTGGCCAAAGTTGACTTCTTAAAAGTACTAGCCAGCGTCCCAGCAGCTAGAATCTTAAAAAGTAAGTTTGTTTCTTAAATTTCTACAAGAAACTTATTCTGCCCAACTTGTCTAGCTCTCTCTCTTTAGGGGTGGGCCGGGGGTGGGGATATCAAATGAATCACCCATGTAGATGCACCGATGTATGGCCGCGATTGCCAATTTCATAACATATACATAACGCTTGAAATTTTATGTTTCTTTCACGTCTCCAGTTTTTCATTATCTCTTCCACACTGCAGTTCCGTTCGATTTTTTACCATCCAATTCGCTTCACTGGCGACCAAGAAGTCCCGTAAAAATCAATAATAAACTATTAGATGAATTTAAAAGGAAAATACCTTACGGGCGAGTTTCTTATATGAGTTTTTGATTTCCTGCAATGTGGCGTTCCGGCTAACATTCAACGTCGAATAGTGATCAGTAGCGGCAGACCCTGTTGCACTTGCACCACGGCGTACGAATGTTAATCGACTTCTGGTTTGAAAATCCGCGCTCCTAAGTGGGCCAACAACGCGGGAAAATCTGGAATAGCACGAGCTGGAACCAAGGTTGACGGAAGGTGGGTTGAGAAAATATAACACATTAGGTCGAATTGCAGATGGAGAAACTAGCTGAAATGTAGAAGTTGGGTTTGGATTAGCATTGCAGGGACTGCAAATACCATTTAGTGGCATTATAGCGCGGGGTCGAGCACAGAACTTCACAAGGGGAATGATCGGGGCTTATGTAACATTATAGGGATTGCCAAAAAATCTAGTGACCCATCACGAGGGTATCGGCCGATCAGGTCGGATCAAATCGATAATTTTGATAGGAGTCTCCTAAGTGGACAGAAAAAGGTATCCCGCCCCGCCTCCGATCCTACCCCTAGTCATTTTTAATTATATTAGTAAGAAACAGGTGAGATGGTCGTCAAATTTCATAGTTTTTATTTCAATGTTTAAAAATATAAAATTGAATTAAATAGATAAAATTTATAATCTAATTTGRTTTTTTTATCTCTAAATATTTAGATCACCAAGTTTTTTTGTATTCCCAATGTTTATCTCATAAAACACCTATCAATAATTCTCATATACGGTTAGTGTGATTAAAAGTATTATTCTTCAATTACTTAAAAAAAATTTAAAATAAACACATATTCATTGATTTTTTCATCTTTTTTTTTCCTAAACATAACAATACATAAAAGTAAATAAAACTTTGTTTCAATTTCTTATTTGAGTCATTGAAAAATAAAATGACAAAAAAAAATTAGTGAGGGATAGAGAAACGTTCAGGACAGCCATTCTTTGCCATGTTCGAGTTCCGGTCCAATTCCTTACCCTAGCTCGCTAGGAATGCCAACCGCAGCCATGTTCCGATAGATTGCTCCGACTATTTTCATCACACAATGATCACCTTACGAAGGAGGACGTCATTGAGAGAGCCCTCGTGGTTATCAAGTGTCATCCCAAAGTGGATCCGTTTAAGGTGATTCGATCTTATCACTTATTTTCCCTTTATTTTTTTCAATTGATTGAGTTGATTGGGAAAAAAATAACTAAAAAAATTGAATATTCGATCAGACAATCTAACTAAATATAAGAAAAACACAAGACATTGACTAAAAGGAGAAAATTAACATACCGAAAGAGAAAAAAATTCAAGTTTTGATGAAGAAAAGTTGGGAGGAAGAGTAAGAAAAAACTCTTTATATAGTTGTAGAAAATAAAAAGTTATGAAACTTTTGAAATTCCTTATTAATTATAATTAAAAATAAGTTACAACTTTTTAACATAGATAAAGAGGCAAAATCCTTCATATTCTAACTCTTTACCTTCTAACCTTTGAGGGAGAGTTTATTAGAAAAATAAATGAAAAAARAAAAGAAAGTAGGGTGGAAGAGAAAGAAAGGGGAAGGGAGGGAGAAAAATTTATATTTGAATGACAAAATTACCCTCAAAATATCAATTAAAAGGGCAAAATAGAAAGAAAAAATTTCTCCCTGATCCTTTTTATATATCCTATAGATAATAATAATAATATATTAAATTTAATAAAATATTTTATCCAATTTAAAACCTCAAATCTCTTTCTCTATCCCTCGTAACCTTACTTTTAATGTTTATAATTTTTATAATAATTAAAGATTTGTTGGATTAAAAAACAAACATGTTGAAATATTTTACTTTATTTAATTACTAATGATATTTAATTATACTCATTTATAGGGAAAAAATAGGTATTTTCTTTAAAAATTTAAAACAATTATACGTCACCCCACAAAATTTCGGCGATTGGAGTTTGATTTGAGTGTAGAGAGAAAAGCGGTGATTTGAATTTAAAGAGTATTGAAAACAGTTGTAACTAAGAATTTAATATCTGAAAATTAAATTCATAATAATTATATGAATATAATAGTTTTGACTATTTATATTATGCAACCGGCGTATTTACCCACATATTCATTGTGAACGTCTTTTATTTGTGTATGACATCGTTGTATTTATGTTTGTTATCATTTTATGGCTCTTTGTATGCTATATTTGAAATCGGTGTAATTAATTACATTTATAGTGTGATTGTTGACATTTATCGGACAATCATTTATTACACTAGTTTTTTATTTCGGTTTCTTACATTTATTTTAAGAGTTAATTCTCGTGCTTATAAATATGTGTATCTATATATATATATGGTTGTTGGATTTGTTCATTTGAAATATACAAAAAGTCTCCCACGCATTTGTAGTATTTCAAATGCTCTCCAAATTTGAGTTACTCATCCTCCCACAAGAATTCTCTCTTTCTTTTTCTACTTTGTTGAGATATTCATAAATGAATTAAATTTACCCAATCAATCAACTTAAGCTTTTGGGTTGAGCAGTGTAGTTTATTCATCCTTAACATGATATCAGAGTGGGATATCAGAGCGGGTGGTCTTGTGTTTGAACTCCTGCAATGTTATTTCCTCCCAATTTATTATGATTTTTACCCAACCCATCAAGAAAGTCATACGCCACCACAAGTACACTTGATTGGTAAAATAAGCACGGACAGATAATTAATCTCAAGCAAGCGTAAATTCTATGTAGAGTAGAGATGACAATAGTGTGGGATGAGATTGAAGGTGCACTCCCCATTTTCTCGTGCTCGTTAAAATTTTCAGTCCACCATCTCCACCTCGTTCTTCGATTCGGAAATCTAGAATACTGTTAAAGAATAGTTATTTTATTACTAGTTTTGTAATTAATTTTAATTATTTTTAGAATTTTATAAAAGTGTAATAAATATACATTAATTGTTTTAGAATTATTATTTACTATTATAAATAATTAGTTTTAAAAAATATTTAATATTTTTTGGAGCAAATACCTGACCCTAGGGAATTTTTGTCGCCCCCGAAGAGACCAAATACAAGTTTAGACAGATAGAAATGAAGCAACTTCAATATCTTTTTATCAAGGGGTGAGGTTTGAAACCTAGTCACTTTACACCTAGTGGGAGTCATGGAATATCATAGCGTTGATCAATTGAAGAAAAAATAAATGAATCGAATAGGAACTCGCATTGACCTACTTAACTCAGTGGTTAGAATCTTTCGTACGATATTGGTTCACGATCCAATAGTAGGGAATCCCACCCGCAGGCGGAGGTTCTTGTTCCAAGATAAATAAAAGTTTTAAAAAACKAAATTGTGAAGAGAGAAAAAGTTCGTGAAAATATTAACTTTTTAGAGAGAAAAATGAGAGTGATCTGTTAGAAACAAATAAAGATGCATAAAGTTGAAAATTTTGGAGAAAGGGAAATAATAATAAATATTTAAAATATAAAAATTTTATTGAGAGAAAAATAAATTTTGTAGATAGAAATTTAGGTGAAAAAAATTTAAAGTGAGAAAAAATTTTGTTAAAGATAAATATGAGAAAGAAAAAAAATTGAGTATCAGAAGGAAAATTAGATTTTGAAAAAATAAAAATAAATTTTTGAAAATTATAAACCATAAAAAAACGAAATAGTTATCAAACGGACCCTTAATAATACAAAATTTCGTTGTTAACAACATTTAACAACATTTTCATTGAAAGACCGGAATTAAAAAATACCCCAATTAAATTAATATGAGATTGTTTGGATTTTAGTTAAAATCATGAGTTAGACTTCGTAATCATCCATAAGAGTCAATATAATATTAAGAATTCAGAGGGAGAGAATTGAAAGTATTGGTGGTCATATATACTATGACTATTGAAAGAAAAATGATTGACATTAAAAAAAATTAAAAACCTCAAACAAAGAAAACAAACCTGTGAAAAAACTAAAAACAAAATTATTATTAGAAGAAGAAGGTCCAACTTTTATATAAGTATTTTTTCCAATATTTGAAAAGATACGATAGTTATTATTAGAAGGTCCAATTTTTATATAAGTATTTTTTCCAATATTCGAAAAGATACGATAGTTATTATTAGAAGAAGAAGGTCCAATTTTTATATAAGTTTCTTTTCCAACATTTCAAAAGATAAGATATTTGCCCCCTATTCAATAATGTTACGTGTGCATATATACGTGTGTATGTATGTATATAGGTATCTAGTACTCGTATTTGTAATATACTTTTCAATAAGTTAATTCTATAAAGAAAATAGAAAATCGATTAGCGAGAGATATAATAATAAATATAGAAAATAAATAGATAATATAAAAATAGGCAATTGTAAAAATGACAAAAATATTTAGTAAAATTAACAAAATAGCAACCCTATTTAGTTTTTTCAAGTATAACACTTAAAGAAAACGGAGGTCCAATTTTAAATGACAACTTTACCCCAATAATATACATATGTAATATATCTGACTACTATGTGATATACATATGATATATTACTGATATGAGTGTTTGATATACTTGCAATACATATGTGATATATATGTGATATATTACTGATATGAGTGTTTGTGCAGTATATATGTGATATATATCTAATATACTACTAATATGAGTGTCTAATATATTATTGATATGAATATCTGATATACTATTGATATAAGTGAAAATTGTTACTATATTTGAAAAATTTTAAAAACAGGTGACATATTTTAAAATACATAAAATATTTTTATTACCAACTATAATTTCTCATATAAAAATGTTGAAATTATTGAATTAACAAATAATATAAATCAACTCACAAGGTAGGAAGTAAGAGATGACTTATATGGTATATCTTAAAATTAGAATATGGAAATTACACTCGGTAGCAAAAAAATCTTGTATGCATTTCAAAATATATCACATGTTTTAAAAATTTTCAAATATAGTAAAAATTTTCACTTATACCAAATAACATATCAAATACTCATATCAGTAATATATTAATGGTATATCAGACACTCCTATTAGTAGTATATTAGATGTACGTTGCATACATATTGCACAGATACTCATATCACAGTAGTATGTCAGAGGTATATCATATACCTATTGCAATTATAGATATATTACAAATATATTACATATTTATATTATATATAAGACACTCATATTAATAATATATCACATACACATATCAATAGTCAGATATATTACAAATATATATCATTTAGTTAGAGTTGTCATTTTAAAATTGGACATCCGTGTTTTTTCTTAGAAAAAAAAGTATCAAATTTGAAAAAGCTAAATGTAGTTGTTTTTTTTTTAAAAAAAAAACTGTAGTTGTTATTTTGTTCATTTTACTACATTTTTGGTCGCATTTGCAAGGGTACCATTAAAATGTTGGTGTTTTTTCTTTTAGTAAAAAAAATGTTGGTGTTTTTTTCCACTAATTCACGAATACCCATAAGAATTGATCAAGTCGAGATTGATACCGATTCTGATGTTGTGATGTCAGGGAGATATCGTGGATCATGTTGGCTGTAAAAAAAAAAAAAAAGAAAAAAAACTCGTGATGAATAACACTGATGATAGAATGTTTTCCACTTACCATTAGAAGAGAGGAACGCTAGAGGGGTAGGAGAGAGAAGTTTTCCTTTTTATTTCAAAAACCATAAACAGCTCAAGCAATACTTATTTTGTTGAGTTTATTACTATTTTGTCAACATAAGAGTAATTAGTGTATATATATATATATGATAAAAAAGTCAATGAATTCGAATTTACATATCACTCATACTAAATAAATCTACTACTAACTTTATTGATAGGAGAGAGGAAGGGAGGGAGGAATGAAGGAGAGAGAGAGAGTGAGTATTTATTTATTTTTCTAATACTATGTGAAAATTTAGTGGTGGACAAAACTGTGATGTATTGTTCTACTTCGAATCATGATAAACACACCTTGGAGATTTGCATTCATGAATATATTCTGGTTCTGCAGAGTATATAAATCCCAGGCTTGAGTTCCCTTTCCAGTTTTCACACATCTGCTTTACTCCCCCAAAACGAAAAGTAAATAAATAAAACAGGAAAACATAATGCACCGTAGAGTCAAAAGTGTAACTGAATAGACACACACATAAATACATTCAACAACTGGACAGAGTAAATATGCCCCCACCAGAGGCGATATAAGCACGTAATCCAATATACGCATTGAAGTGTCACTTCTGTGAGGGTACATGAACAGTAATCGAAACATTCTCAACCTCAAAGCGGAGTTAAGCATGGATAAAAGGAATCAGCTAGCATCATGAACAGTTAATAATTTGGAGTTTTTTGGTACCAAAAGTGATGGAACGAATAGTGATTAGAAAAAGAGGTATAGAAAAAGTAAAGATGGCAAGAGTCTCTGGTGTATATGAAATTTTGTACTAATAAAGCTACCCATTATTCGAGAAACCCCTTCGAAATGTTACTTTCACGATGCGTAAAAAGACATGAAGGAAGAGAAGAGGGAGCAGAAAGGCCACACCCACTGGCATCCATTACTACTGTTCTGACTCACACTGTTCATTCTAAAATTTATGCATATTTGCATGAGTCACCTATTTTGGCTTTCCCTCTCAAATATGAAACTCTTGACTGTTTTACCTAATGGTCACTTTTGTCTACTTTATAACACTTGCCTTGCGCAGATGCGGTAACCCTGATACTTTCTGAAAGAACGAAGAAGCTGAATTTGGGGTGTATTAAGAAGCTCAAATGGAGTCTGATCTGAGCAATTCTACAGAAGGAGAACAAAAAGTGCTACAAGATGAAGAGGAAAAAGAAGGCTGGGAAGGGGAAATTCTGCGGAGGAGAATTTCCAGCCACCCTTTATACGGGCTATTAGTTGAAACTCACCTCAACTGTTTGAAGGTGAGTTTATATTATGGTGCTTTCACTTAATTATGAATAGATGTACGCATTTGTGCAGGCGGCCAACTACACGTGTCTTGTTTCGACTTCCTAAAAAAGGCGTCTTTTAGAAAACAAACCCTTTTCCTTTTTGGTCATTTCTTTGCTAAGCGGTGAGTAATCGGATATACAACGATTTAAACCAATTTCATTGTCGCCTTGATGATTTTATATTTGGTCGACGCCTTCAGACACGATATATGTATGTACAAGTTTTTTATATGTTATGTTCAGGTTGGAGGAATAGGTGACATGGACAGAGGTTATTTAGCTACGGATGTGATCAAACAGCAAGATAACAATATCAGATGCTTAAACACGCTTAACCAATCAGAGCTAGATCGCTTCATGGTATAAACCTCCATCATACTAATTATATATATAATGACATGCATATTTATCACGCGCATGTATGGAGGACAAAAAGAGTACCGTTATACACACATGGGCGCACGTGCGAATTCTATTGAGCTTATATATATAGAAGCCTTGCTCAAGTATGGCGGAATCATGAGAAACAATTTGCAACTACAATATACATGCATTCAGTAACATCTTTATTTAGTAAAATTAGCTGAAATTTTGAAATTCTTGAGCTGGTGGGTGAATTGAACTATAAGAAATGCAGCTTTATATGAATGTCTTTTAATTTATAGTTACATTTTAATAATTAAATCGAGAATTTTTATTTGGCGTCAAGTGTGTTGAGTCATGAGTGGCCAAAAATTTAGGAAGTGGAAAAAGAAATGTTCGATCTCTGTTTTATTCTCTTCTTGGCTCTTTTCTCCCTGGGTTTTGGGACAATATATTTTTCAGATCAAACTAGACGAGTATATGCAGGAAACCTATTGTTTTGCATTGAGCAAGCTGAAAGAAGCAATGGAGGAATCTCAGATAAAATCTATGGCATTTATCAACAGCATGCACTCGCAGTTAAGGGAGATCCCAGCCACCAGTGCGGCAGCCCACAAACCCACCACCTCATCTTCCAGTGACACAAACTGAAGCCAAGCAAGTAGAAAAATATAATGGATCGGATGAGTTATTGTTCTGATCTAACCCAAGGTCTCTCACACGGATGTAACAAAATCTGAAATATTATTAGCTTGTGTTTTTTTAATTTAAGCAAGTAATCGTCTTGATCGCTGCATATTTATATGAATGGGGTTTTGGGGATAATATTGATCTGTAGGAGGGACTCGTGCAAAATTGTTGATGCCAGTCCCTCCGCTGGTCCGTGCCGCTTAATTACCATTATTAACAATCGAATAAACTCGATTTTGGACAATAAAGAAAAATGCTAGTATCATTTTATTTTTAATATATATAGATCGGTGATCCTACCCCCACCACATCGGTGATCCTCCCTCATACATACACATATATATATACACACATATATATAAATAAGTATTTGCATTTATTTATGCTATGTATCACAAAAGGTCAACGTTTTAAATACTATATTATATTATAAAATGTTATATATTTAAATATAGAGATAGTTGCAAATATATAAAAATATTTAGTAAAATTAGTAAAATAACAACCTCATTTAGTTTTTTCAAATATAGCACCTTTTAAGGAAAGGAATATCCAATTTTAAAATGACAACTTTACCCAAATGATATATATCTGTAATATAACTTACTACTGATATATGTATGTGATATACATCTGATATGAGTGTCAGTGTAATATATATGTGATATATATATAATATACTATTGATATGATCGAGTGTTCTGATATACTACTGATATGAGTATATGATATACTACTCATATAAGTGAAATTTTTTGCTATATTTGAAAATTTAAAAAATAGGCGACATATTTGAAAATACATAAAAAAAAGAAAAATTTAATACAATTTCCCTGAAATATATTATCCTTACCAATAAAATTTTATTTGGCAAGAGCATAGTTAAGGTTAAAAGATATATATATTATTTAAAGATCATCTTTTTTTTTACGGCATATTATTTAAAGGTCTTAAATTCAAATAATCCTTAATTTCAAATTTTGTTGAACAAAATAAATAAATAAATAAAACTTTATTTTGTGTGAAATATGACCAATAAAACGTTAAATTTTGTTTATTTTTCCTCATTTTTTAAATTCTTTTTTCTGTTACATTTTATCAATTCCAAAATAGACGGACATAAATGTAATACTATTTTTTTTAAATGTAATATTAATTTTTTGCTAGCTTAAACATGATTCCAATTAGTTGATACATTTGGTATCGTTTCCATTTCCGATTTCTTGTTTCTAATTTTATTAAGAAACTTAATCATTTTACAACTATTTATATATATATCTTTTTTGTTTTTCATTTTTTTAGAAATGTTTCTAAAATTGTATATAAATTTTGGAAAAATCAAAGTTTGTTAATAAGGGAGATATGACAGAAATATACTACACTTTCTCATTAAGAAAAGTCTTAAATTATAATATACAAAGTAACATAATAATTAGTTATTACCAACCAAGCAAAGTAGTTAAGCTAACTAACATCAGTATGTTATAACTATACCTAATACTCTTCTCCGAGATGGACGTTATATATATCCAAAATGCCCATATCTTGGATGATAAAAAAACAAAACAGAAGCTGGAAGAGCTTAATAAGTAAAAATATCAGCTAATTAATTGCAAATAGGACCAAACATAAAGAAGGCCGGATGAAATCCTCCATAACTTTGTCTCGAACAAAATGGCAATCAAACTCAATATATTTGATTAGTGAAAAATTAGAGACAATATGTACTGCAACTTGATTATTATAAAAAGATAAGAGTAGAGGAGTAAAAATAACATGCATGTAAGAAAGTAAGTTAGAGTCAAATTAACAAGTGGTGTGATAGCTAAAAATCTGATATTAAGCTTTTGCAAAAGACTGAGATATGGTAGACTGTTTCTTGAACTTCCAATAAACTAAAGCATCACCAAGAAATACACAAAAAGTCTATGGTAGAACGCTCGAGTATCTAAATAGGAAGCCCAATCATATTCAGCAAACGCGCGAAGTTGAAATAAGGATGAAGAAGGTAGAAAAATACCCTACATGACAACTAATTCAAATACCTCAATAAATGAAGGATAACGGCCAAAATGAGAGATTTACACGACATAACAACATATACTAAACTCAGCTTATGAATAGAAAATGTAATATCTGGTCTTGAAATAGTTAGGTAATTTAGATGTCCAATAAACTGGGAAGCTTTAACACTACTAGAATTTTGAGTTTTTTGTAACGCTCATGAACAGTAAAATACTGTTGAAGATTATTAAAAAACGTCATGAAAGGTAAAAAACACATTTTTGGAGGGAAAAACGAAGATTTCCGGATTTTTTTACCATTCATGACGTTTTTTAACTGTCACGAAATGATCGGCAAAACGTTGGTTTAAGCTTTAAACGTCACGAAAGGTTGATGCACGTTTTTTACGGGAAATGACGGAGTGTTTCGAATTTTTGACTTTTCGTGACGTTTCTCTAACTGTCACGAAATGATCGTACAAAAGTTGGTTTTTTCGTGACGTTTAAAAAACGTTACGAAAGTAGGCACGTTTTTTGTGGGAAATGACGAAGTATTCCGAATTTTTGACTTTTCATAACGTTTCTCTAACCGCCACGAAATGTCGAAAGTAAATATGTTTTCCTTGACGTTTAATAAACGTCACAAAATGTACTGACCATTTTTTGCTCGAAAGGACTTCGGATTGCCATATTTACATATGTTGGATTTTGGTACTTTATAATGATTTTTTAACGTCACGAAAGATCATAAAAATTTCCATGAATCTTAAAAAATGTCATGTAAGGTTTCGCATACTTGTTTCCCATTTTCGAAATACTCAATTTCTTTATTTAGATATTTATGTTTATGGATTTTGTGAGTTTTTGATGTACTGTTCTATGGTTATGCAATAAAATTAGATACAATGTCCCTTGAACAGATAACAAATAATTTGTATTGGTTTAAACAAAACCAAATAGAGATAACAGGCTTAAAATACTTAGAGGGTGTAAAACCATTTCGTTTTTTCTTTTTGGTTTTTGATTTTTAGTTTTTTTAAAAAAGTGGTGTTTGATAATCAATTCAATTTTCTGTTTTTTTATTTCAAAAACCATTTTGAAATTCTAGGTAAATTTAAAAAAAAAAAGTTTTCAAAAAAAGATTTTTGTTTTTCAAAATCTAATTTTTCTTCTAAAGATAATTTTTCTTTCTTTCTCATATTTATTTCTAAAAATTTCTTTCTCACTCTAAAATTTTTTTCCTTCTAAATTTCTCTCTACGAAATTTATTTTTCTCCCTCTAAAATTTTCATATTTTGAATATTTATTATTATTTGTCTCTCTCCAAATTTTTCTGTATTTTTATTTTATATATATATATTTTTCTAATGGATGAGTTTCATTTCGTCTTTTATAACCTTTTTTCTCTCCATAATCTGTTTTTCCTTTGAAAATTATATTTTTTTCCGTTCAATTTTCTTTCACGGTAGCTTTTATTTATTTATGTACTCTACAAATTTTATTTTGAATTTTGTTTTTATCTCTAAATTTGTTTCCACTATAATTTTCTCTTTATTTTTTTCTTTAACATATCTTTTCCTCTCAACTTTACAATTTTTATTTAAAATTTTTCTCTTTTTTGTCTTTAACTTTTCTCTCACTAATATTTTTCCTGAATATTTTTATTTATCTCTCTAAAATTTATCTTCCAAAAATTTATTTACATCTTTTCATATCTCTACATTACAGATGACAAAAATTTTCGGAGGGTCGAGCCCAAAAATAGGAAAGCATGTCCCGATCCCGTCATCGATTCTATTTTTTAAATAATTAATATATATTTGTTAAACTTTTTTATAATTATGTTCTAAAAATAATTAAAAACAATTATAAAACCGATAATTTTTCTCGAGAACATTTCTCGAACCAAATAACGAGGTGGAGACAGRAACTAAAAATTTTCAAGAGAATGAGGGTTCATCAAGTTTTTGTTTTTTAAAAACTAAAAAAGTGAACCACTATTCTAGAGGGCTTGCCGTAAGCTATAAATGGATTTGTGTACCCAACAAACCATGGGTGATCCTTGAGAAGAAGAAGTAGTGGGCTCATATCCTAAGGACATATACATGTATACTTCCTCAAAACGATCTCCCAAAATGAAAAAGCACTGTTAATGGTAACAAGTTTTGCAACATGAGAAAATATCTCAATAAAGTCCAAGACTCTAGTTGAGTGTACCGACTTTTAGCTACTAGACGAGTCTTGCAACACTTAAATGGAACCATTAACACGATCCATTTTTACAGCTAATCGAATGTCTATAAACCACGTGCCATTAGATTCCATGGGATCAAATTCCTCACACATGGCTTCCTTCCGGTGGGGATATAAGAGAAATGGCTTGGTGGTAAAATTGTGGCTCAAACTGGTATGAAATTTGGAGAGGATAAATGGAAATAGGATAGAAATTCATTTAAAAGAAACCAGGTAGAAATTGAAAAAGTAATATAAGGGGGAGAGAATATTACAATAATATTGTTGAAGATATGAAGATGACTTGGATACCTTGTGAGAACGATGAAAAGAAATGGTAGAGGAAACAGGGGGCTGAGAAAAATCTGTTGGACCATCAGGGGAACGAAACTTTAATAAAAATAAGGAAACATAAAAAGAGAGACGGAATTACTTGCCAAACGGCCGTGTGAAAATTAACAGTGTTCCTCCGAATAAACCATCTAAGCTATCCTGGAGATTTTTTATTTTATGTTTAATAAATCTTTAAACTTTAAATTTTATATCTAAAATTGATAGTTTTTTAAAATTCATATAATTAAATTAGATTCAAACTTTAAATATTATGATTCTATTAGAYACAAAATTTAATTTTATATGGATTAATTTTTAAAATATGTCAAATATATATCACCTATTAGACACAGTTAAAAATTATTCAAAGATTCTATTGGACACTTTTAAAAGTTAAAGGCCTATTAAATACAAAGGTGAAAATTAATAGATCTATTAGACTCACTTTAACATTCAAATTAAAGATTCATTGGGCATAAATGTAATTAAAGCTTAAAGATTAAACCTGTGATTAAAAAAAAGTGTATTTAAGATAATTGATCAGGAATAAGATTGGGTATATATATATACGCCACTATAATTATTCTCTTGGCACTGGAGAAATTATTAATCATCTATGGAATATACTTCGTAAAGAATAAAACAACGAGGTTGACCCACACGTGTTTTCTACTCCAGAAATCATGGATAGCTAACCTCTAATATAAGTAAATATTTGGTGTTGGAGAGGATTGTGGGCATTATTTTTAGGGAAACTGCAGAGAAAAAGTTGGTAGTTTGAGTGGTTGAAAATTTGAGCCGAACGTGTATATAAATGAAGGATTGGAAGGATTAGGCATCGGGGAAGGGGACAAGAACCCATCTTCTTACGAATTTGGGGGATACATATCCTGCTCGACAATCGACAAGAAGGGCGGAAATATCAAAAGAGAGAGAAGGGGGCCGGGAGATAGATGGCGGGGTTGGGGTTGATGTTTACCATGCTGCTTTGCCTTTTGGCTGCAGCAATGATGTCAACGGTCCGTGGTGAGGACCCTTATTTCTTCTTCACATGGAACGTCACCTATGGCACCATCTCTCCCTTGGGTGTTCCCCAACAAGGCATTCTCATCAATGGCCAATTTCCCGGACCTAATATCAACTCCACAACCAACAATAACTTGGTCGTTAACGTCTTCAACAACCTGGATGAACCCTTCCTTCTGCATTGGTAGGGCGTATTTATATTTGTGTTTACATGTTCATTCATCTTCATTCATCTCAATTAATGCTCATACAAACAAAATATTAAATTGGACCTGCAGGAGCGGTATTCAACATAGAAAGAATTCGTGGCAAGATGGACTTCTTGGAACTAATTGCCCAATCCCACCGGGGACAAACTTTACCTACCATTTCCAAGTTAAGGACCAAATTGGAAGCTACTTCTACTACCCATCAACTGCCATGCACAGGGCAGCAGGAGCCTTTGGCGGCCTTCGTGTGAATAGTCGTTTACTCATTCCTGTCCCTTATGCTGACCCTGAAGATGATTACACTGTCCTTATTGGTGACTGGTACAYCAAGAGTCATTCTACCCTAAAAAACTTTTTAGATAGCGGTCGCTCCCTCGCTAGACCTGACGGTGTCCTCATTAACGGGAAGACTGCAAAGGGTGATGGAACCGATGAGCCGCTCTTCACTATGAAGCCTGGAAAGACTTACAAGTACCGAATCTGCAACGTTGGATTGAAGACAACTCTTAACTTTAGATTCCAAGGCCACACCATGAAGTTGGTAGAGATGGAGGGCTCTCATGTCGTCCAGAACGATTACCAATCACTTGACATCCACGTGGGACAATGCTTTTCGGTGCTAGTCAGAGCCAACCAAGAGCCGAAGGATTATTACATGGTTGCATCCACTAGATTTATTAAAAGCCTTCTTGTCGGTAAAGGCATTGTTCGATACACTAATGGCAAAGGCCCCGCCTCTCCTGAAATCCCCGAAGCACCCATGGGTTGGGCTTGGTCCCTCAATCAATTTCGTACCTTTCGTTGGAACCTTACTGCCAGCGCTGCTAGGCCTAATCCCCAAGGCTCGTACCATTATGGTTCCATCAACATTACCCGCACCATCAAGCTAGTCAATTCAGCGACTAAGACCGATGGTAAGCTGCAATACGCCATAAATGGTGTCTCCCATATTGACCCTGAAACTCCGTTGAAGCTTGCAGAGTATTTCGGAATTGCTGACAAAGTCTTCAAGTATGATACCATTTCTGACGAGGGACCGACAGAAAGTGCAACCACGGTGACTATTGCTCCTAATGTTGTTAATGCAACCTTCCGCAACTTTGTAGAGATCATATTTGAGAACCACGAGAAAAGCCTCCAATCATGGCATTTTGATGGCTATTCCTTCTTTGCTGTTGCGTAAGTATCATCAAACAAAAATAATTATTAATGCATATAATATTAATTTTGTATTCCCAATTTACACATGGCTAATGAATTGATCAATTTTTCTTTCACAGTATTGAGCCTGGGAGATGGACACCGGAAAAGCGAAAGAACTACAATCTTCTAGATGCCGTGAGTAGACATACAATTCAAGTCTTTCCTAAGTCATGGGCAGCCATTCTTCTTACACTCGATAATGTTGGAATGTGGAACTTGAGATCTGAGTTGACAGAAAATCGTTACTTGGGACAACAACTCTACATCAGTGTTATTTCACCCGCTCACTCCCTCAGAGATGAGTACAACATCCCAGATAACGCTTTGCTTTGCGGTTTAGTCAAGGGCATGCCATTGCCCARGCCATATACCATTTGAGACAACTCATCCAGCCTCCAACACTTCAATTGAGAGACTATGATATTAATAGGGGTGGTCATGAATCTCCCAATAAGTTACTACTATATATTGGGAAATTCATGAAAACCTTTGCTGATTGGAAAACCCTGATCAAAAGATCCCTTCGATAAAAGGGGAATAGGAAGTGTGTAACTACTATTGCAACTAAGGAAAGATTTAATAACAAAAGACTTTTCTCCAGGGAACAACCAAGCAAGCTGCAGAAATAGTTTCGAATATTTTCTTAAACCAACTCAATAAGAGAGGAAGGCTATTATGCTCTTTTGCACATATATAGGTACTTTTCTAAACGCTCTCTAAAAGGAAAAAACTTAATCAATGGGGTCGCGAATTATAGACTCTAATGCTTTAACCATATAACAAAGTGTCTATGATGATTATAGACAATTAGATATATGAGAGAGAATTTTAAAAATTGTATTTCAAACCTATATAAAATCAACTTGCATCCAGCTAGACTATGATGGGAATGGAGAGTATAAGGATTTGTAAGCTGTTGAAGTGTTGACTAAAAATTCAAACGGATGAACAATATGAATCAAGGGATTAGGGGTCACTTAGCTTGATTTTTGGCCAAATTTTCAAAACCTGAGTTTTCTATACTTTTGCTTATCTCAGCAATCTCAACAAGAATGCCAAAAGACACGAATTGCCATTCTCCCCCTCGATAAATATGAAAATCAATTTTAGTTTCCTTCATCTCTCTCCTCTCTCCCTCTCTTTTTAATCTTTTTCATAAAATATGTGATTCTTAATTCCCTACTTCCTCTCTCTCTCCTCTATCCAAAAAAATGTTTTCCTCACAAACTTCGTAGGTCACTGGTGGCAATTTTACACAGTGACATCAGTCCACTCGCCAATGGAGGTTTGCTTATGAAGTCACTATTTTTTATTATTTTTTTTTAATTTTATGAGATGAGTTGCAATAAGATTTCTTTTGAAAATACAAAGGGAAGATATGATAGAGATCTAAACAAAATTAGAAGTTTTAGAATTTTAATACCACAGGGAGCTTCCTTAAGAAGGAAAAAAACCCACTGCAATTTTATCTAAGTTAAAAGTAAATCCAAACTATAAATACTAAATTGAAACTTTTAAAATGATAAGCAACAAAGTGAAATTATACTCACACCACAAGAGAACATAATCACCCATTTAGGATATTATAGGAGTTGGGATATCAATTATGTCTAAACATTTTGATCGATTATTTGGAAAAATGAGAGTTAAGTCAGCTCCTCCTAGTATAACATAGATGGTAACATAAAAATTAATACTAAATAGCCGGGTAATATTTAGATAATATTTAGGTATGTTAAAATGAATATGGAATATATTTATCAAAATAACAACATTATCTTGATATAAAAAAATAATTACTTGTATATTTGTACATAAGCAAATAAATAGTGGTATGAAAAATAAATACTTTGTATATATTGTTCACTAATTGTAAGCAAGTGAAATTTAAATATAAGTTTAAAATATGTTAATTTTAAAAAATTATTCAAAGTAAATGTCTCAATTAATTATTAATTATTTTAAATAAAATTAGTCTACTGTAAAACAGAAAAAAAAATGAACATAATAAAAATGAGTGATAATTATTTGAAACAGCTATTCTTGTTTAGATTTAGGGAAAAAAAAGCAAGAAAGAGAGGGAAAAAAATGAAATTTTGTATTGTTTTTCTGTTTTCAGGAAAATGGGGAATGGAAAACAGCTGTGAAAGGTTTTATTAAGAAAAAGAAAAAAATGTCACGTCAACACTGGCTTCCCTGGAAAGCTACACATAGAAATTCGAGAGTGGGAGAGAGGATTCGGGGGGGAAGAATAAAAGAGTGTGTTAGAAGGGGGAACGAAGGAGAAAAATAAGGAGAGAATGAAAGAGGAAGAAAGAAAGACCGATCTCAATCACTTGGTCAGAGCTTGCTAAACTTGAAATGAGAATCGAAGGCCGGGGTCGAGCATTTGAGATTACCTGGTAAGCTCGTTTTTAAGATAGCGCGAAATGAGAACTAAAAGATATGTTCTGTGGGAGTTTCTTCATCTTGTTCAAGAAACTATTGGATTTTCATATTTGTGCAGTGTTCTTGCTTAGGGTGCCATGCAAAGATTTTTCCTTTATGTTTTGAAAAAATAAATTAATGGCAATGTTTTCGAACAGGCTATAGCAGTAATTAAGCATCTAACTTTTGTACAGTGTCAAGCCAAAGGTTTAGGGCCATAACCATTTTTTTTTTTCAGTTTTTGGTTTTTAATTTTTATAAACAAGCTTGTTTTAATGTTTTAGTTTTTTGTTTTCAAAGTGAGGATGGATAGCTTCCTCATCCCTGTCCTCCATTTCATTCTCCATCTCGCAAAATTTCACAATGATCGGAGTAGGAATTTCCGGTGGAGAACTTGCGTGGATTGGATTCCCATAGTGCGTGGATTAGATTCCCGTAGCCTATGGGAAATTATTATCCTTTTTTTTTAATAAAGAAATTCAAAATTAAAAGGTAATTCTTCCTAGTAAATCTTCTAATTGTATGAGGAGTCTCCAATTTGAAAATGAAAATTGTAAATTACCTAATAATTCATAATTCATCAAACAAAGTATCAAAAAAGGGGACAGGATGGATAACTACGAAGGAAAAATTATAGAGATAGGAACTATAAAGAGATTAGCAGCTTGGTAGAGAGGGGGAGGGACAATAATTTTAGGGTAATGACAAAATAATAACACTAGCAGATTAAGCAGTTCAAAGACAAAGTAGTGGAATAACAAATATGCTGCATTCAACAAGTGTTGATGATTATTATTTTGCATATGATTTTAACAAACTTCTTAGCACTCAACCCTGCTCTTGATCTTGCTTCCCCTCTATCTCTCAAGGTTGTTCTTTTAGTTTCCATAAATTTCTGTCAACATTAAACTAATTTCTAACTTGATATCAATATCGTGATATTTTCTGCGTGTGCTTGGTTTCACTTAACTTTTCCTAAACTTTTCCTAGTGGTTGGGTTAATTTGTGATATTTATTTGGTGTGCTTTCTGTTGAATTTGTTTAATTTTCTTTGGTAACTTGACCTAAACCGATTCAATCCTGACCTATGATACCTACGTTTATGGGCTAGACCAATCTAAAAAATTGGTTGAGTCATAAAAACTATCCCAAGCAAACCTGACCTGACCCATGTTCGTTCGTGTAATTTCTTACTTTTGGCCTAGATACTTATTGGGATATTATAGTACTTTAGGAGTCTTAAGAGCTTACTCTCTAAATTGAAAGCAGAATATATATTTTATTATTGTTGAAAGGAGTTGGAGAATATTTATTCTATAATTGTTGAAAGGAAAAAGAAAGTTTACACAAAGAAAGAACCATAAAGGTTAGAGAATCTAAGAAACGATCAAAGGACTTCTCTATGTTGATGTAAATTCTACAGTCTCTCAAAGCAAGGAATTAAAAAGAAAGCCTCATTAAATTGAAGCCAAAGGATATTTATTTGGGGTTTAGTGTTTCAGGTTTGGGGTTTGGGTTCCGATTTGGGTTTCGGGTTTGCTCTCAAGGGACCATGAGGTTAAGCATGAAACCCTTGCTTTGCAAACTAATGAAGGAGACCGTAGGAAGTAGTCACTCGACCTTCTCCCATTTACTTTAAATACTTTCTTCATTCACCTTGATTTTGTTCAATGCAAACACCTTCCGAAGGGAGGATGCTCATAAGGCACCACGAGGCCAAGCATGAATTTCACATTGTGAACTTCACGGAAAGTGCGAGGCAAAAAAGTATATATTATACACAGCTCGTATATGAAACATTCTGGCATGTTATATACATACAGTAATCCTCCCACTAAGTATTTTTACTGAAAGGGGGGAGAATTTTTACACCAAGACATAGCGAGAAAAATGAAAGAGGGGAGGTCCTTATCTGTAAAGATCCTATGATTTCATTCATTTCATGTGATCCATAAAAAAGCTTGAATAATGTGTTTCCAAAGGACCTCTGTTTCTTTCTTGAATGGGTGGCCCACAAAAACAAAAGAGAGTAAGGTCTTGATGTCATAAGGGAGAGCCACTGTCCAATCGAAAGCTGCGAGGATCTTGTCCCGAAACATAGTTGCAAAGGAGCAGGTGTGGAAGACGTGATGTGATGTGGAGATTCCCTGTCTTCTTTACAAAGGACACACCAATGAGGAGACAATGTGTAGTAGGGGAGCCGACGCTGCAGTCTATCGTGGGTGTTTATGGTGCGGTGGGTAAGTTACCAAATGAAGAATTTTATCTTCTTTGGGTAATGATCGCCCCAAATGACCTTCGCTAGAGATGGATTTAACACCCCTTTAAGGCCAAATCATTAAGGAGTGTTTTGGTGGTGTAAAGGCCGTGACTGTCTACGGGCCAAATCCATGAGTCATTGGCAGAAATAAGGTGGATGGAAGCAAGATGATTGGATAGAGAGGCCCATTCAACAATCTCTACATCCTTGAGATGAGTCCGGAACCCCAAGTCCCAAAAACCACTCTGTATTCCATAAATTAGAAACTGACGCCTCCTTGAATTTGGATAAAGCATGGAGATGAGGGAAATGCATAGCCAAGGGGGAACCAAGAATCCATGGACCGATCTAGAATGATGTAGATGTCCTGTTTCGTACC